GTTAGGGTCTAAAGGTGTTGGTGTGTGAACATATACAAAGGTGTTTAACGTACATTGTAATCCATAAAAGAGGCCTTGCAAATCACGTAACAGTGACCAATCCCCACACACGATTTCTCACTCTGTTAAATTGATAAACATCAAGTGAAGAGAGGAAGAATCCAAATCAAAAGAAGTAGATGATGGGTCTTGAGAAGTGGTTTGCTTTGTTGTACCCAAGAGTGCATGAAGGAAGAAGAGAGGAAGAATGCTGCAGTGTGTGTTTGATGAGAATGGCGGAAGAAGATGTGATCAAGTCTTTACCTTGTTCCCATGAGTTCCATAGTCTTTGCGTCGAAACGTGGTTCCATGTTAGCCGGAAGATCTGTTGTCCACTTTGCCGTTTTTCGCCCGCCACTATCCTTCTTACCGATGAACTTTTCCTCTGGTTCTCTTCTTTCCATTTCTGATTCCATCTGGCTGTGTTCCTGTTTTTTTCTGGGGATCAAACATGTTTCTCCTTGTAATGCTATCAACTCTCTTTGTAGTACTAGTTTTTCTTTCAAGGGGGAATGTCTAAAACGTTTGATCCCTCTCTGTAAAAAGATACCAAACAAAGTTTCAACCATATTATTCTCCTCCTTGTGCAAATGTGGTTTCTTTATGATTCTGAGAACAACAAAAAGTAGAGAGATTATAATTGTTGATGTATCCAGGGGCAATGCAACTACCTGCCAAACAGTATCGATAGACATTTTGCCTCTTATATTCTCTCACAGCAGCCAAAAAAATGCAATGTGCATCACATCACATCACATATCTGCATCTAGATTTCAGCTTTCTCTCATTTCTCTCATCACCATGGTTATCCCCTACTCCACCAGCTCGTCCTGCAAATGCTTGTATCTCTGTGATCACGACGCCATTGGCATGTTCGGTAACGTGTCGCAGTGTCACATGTGAGCGGCAACAAAAATTAGGGTTATCTCTCCTTCATCTTCTCAAAATCTCGTCATGGAATGGTGACTCTGTGCCGGTGATTTCACCGACGCCAAAAAATCCAACGACTACCCAACTGCCACCTGCGTCTCTCACTTGTCACTAGCAACTTCTAAAATCTATCGCTGCGTCTGTTGGAACTCGTTTTTGACAAAATGGTTTACGACAATTTTCCGGTGAGATTTCCGTTGGAGACGTTTATCAGAATGACCGGATTTAAGGTACGATAGAATCGTCGCCGTAAACACTATAACATAGTGTATTCACTTGTCAAAATAGAAGTTGATTTAAAAAAGAAATTGAGGTCCAAAGTGGATGATTTTGAAAGTTTGTAAAGCTTCAAAATTTAACTAAGTATAAAAATTAATAAATATCTCACATTAATTAGAATTTTGGATATAAAATCCTCAAATATATAAAGTGGAGAACTCATAACAAGGTTCAAAACTTTTGATACATTTTAGTGTATTAGAGAAAATAGATATGGACCGGACTTCGGCATCTAATTTCAGAATATGGCAGATGGACCTACGGTCCAAAAGATTTATTCTTTTGCCTATATTCTTTTAAATTATGTGTTGATCAAGTCAAACACACATCTCTTCTAATAATGAGTTTTGAAGTCAATTTATGTTTGTAGTTAAGTGCAAATTCAATTTTGATTTGATTTTGTAACTTATAAAATTAATTCACGTTGAAATAGTTATGGTGAGATTAAAT